GGGGGGGGGGGGGGGGGGGGGGGGGGTCACAAGGGGCCTGATCTTTGTTGCGGCAGTGCAGCCCTGGCCCCTTCCCTGCCATCTGCCAGGGAGGCACATGTGCACCTGCTGCAGGTAACGAGCTGGGCAGGGAGTCAATGGACCCCAGTGCAACTGCTTGCAGCCTCCCTGCCACCAGCTGCGAGCAGCCTGGCCTCCATGGTGGACGGCAGAGAATGCATGCCTCAGTGAAGACAGTGGGGAATGCATCAGGGCTGCATTATTACAACAAGGATCAGTCCCCTTGTAGCTCCCCCACTGTCTGCCACTGGCACGTCAACAACATCATACAAGTCAAGGTTGCAGGTGTTTTTGGCACTGTGCCCAAAAACATTGCTGACCCCTGTTCTAAAATAACCAACTTCATGCAATTTTTGGAGCCACAGAGAAATCGTGTGGGCTCCCAAACTGAATTCAAATACATTTAAATTTAAACATATTTCAAATAGAAAACTTCTATCTTTAAAAGACAAAAAGGGTCATCTTTCTGCCTAAGTGTTAGGCAAAAATATTTTAAACTCTTATACAAAATAATCTGCTGTAAATCCTACTATAGTATCCATGTTGTTTTAAAAATAAACTCTCAAAACATGGTCAGAGAATGTGTTAAACTATCTTTAAAGTGTAGTCAGATACCAGTAATAATTCTTTGTATTTTTCTGGATCCTCCTCCATTAGTTTCCTGATTTGATTATTATAATGATGGGATATGCTCTCTTCCACTGCCACAGTACAGGCCATGGCACTTTCTTTTCCAAGTAAAGCTGTTCCAGCACCTGTGATTATGAAAAAAATTAAAGTTAAACAATTCATTCCAGATCTACATTATTAATAGCCAATGTCAACAACATGAGCTCACCTAAAGCAAACCCAGCAATATTCCAAAATGGCAATAAAACAGTGGGTCGAACTCTATAGGCAACCATTAACTCATTAAACTTCTTCAGGTGCTCCTTTTCTTGATTCCACATGTGCTGCAACAGAAGTGAAATTGTAAGTTTTATTTATGTTTATGCTTTCCTGCAATGTAGCTATAAATGCACAGGAAGATGCACTGGATTTTAACCTTAGCTCATATTACTTGTAACTGACCTTTAGAAGTGTTCTAGAAAATAAGTTATTTTCAAATTGGGATTATTTTTCTCCGATGTTAAAAGAAAATGCATATGTATGCACATGGGTAATATTTCCCTTCAATCCCCTTAATTTTATACTAGGAATTCCTGTCCTGTCTGACTTGGAGAGTTCCATGATTGAAGAATTAGGAAATGATGAGAGCAGAAGAAAAAAGCCGATTTGTTAGTTGTTCTAAACCTCTGTTTAAATTTCATACATGACAATTTAGGTAATGGATTATTACCATTTTACATCATTTTTCCTTCCCTTTATTTAAAAAAAAAGCCTTATTTTGAGTCTGAACCTCACACCTACAACATGGGAAGAACTGTATGGCAATGATTCCCTTCATCCAGTCAGATAACTATTGTATTATGTCAGAAACATATTTTGCAATTAAAAGAGCTAGCACAGTGTTTACTGCTTAAACACCTGGCCTTGGGACACCAAGGGCGCACACAGACATTTGGTTCCCTGGGGACAAGTAGCAGCAATACACCTAGCACCACCGCTTCTTGTCACTGGGGAACGCCCATGCCACACATGCTTTGGAGCATGGCAAGTTACCTCAGGTGGGGTAGGGGAGGCTGGGGCCAACACTGTGCTGGCCCCAACAGCCTTACCTGGGTCTATGGGGCCTCCCGGGGCTGCAGCTGCGGTTACTGTGCCACATGGAGCCTGGCTGGCAGTGGAGTGTGGCGCTGGGCGGGCCGGTTCTGTTTTTTAGCAGTTTGCACTGGCCAATTGTGCATTGCTCCAGAGTTTTTTTGCAGTGCCACATACTGCAAGACCGTGCTTATCTGGACATGCCCTAAAAGGTTATGCACTTTCCCAGAACACGCATTTAACTGAACTTAGTGTAAAAAACACTAAGTAAGTGCAGGAACAGCTTGCTCCAAGCTTTTGGCACCTCTGAATTAAAGTTCTGTTTTCTACAGTGCCTCTTGCTTCTACCACATAGGTGGGCAAAATACAGCCCCTGGGGGGCAGTCCAGGTGATGGCATGTGTGGCTGGTCCTGCTGCCTCTGGGTATGGGGTGCTGCCTAGCGCAAAGCACAGCTTGCCATATCCCCACACACAACTCTCAGGTATCCCAGGAGCTGTAGTCTGCAGGGCCAAGTGGCACAGGAGCAGCAGGGGGGGTACAGCTGCTGGACTTGGTTTCTCAGCAGCCCCCAGAGCCATGGCTCCTTCCGGCTGCCGCCACCAGTGTCTCTGTCAGCACCAATGCCAAACCTGACCCCGCTGCCCAGACACCCCAGCCTGTCCACCACACCCACCGCCAGGCATCAGACACAGCAGGAGGGCAGGGTCTCCATGGAGAGCAGCCCAAGACCCTCATAGGCTAGGCATGCTCAGCTGGGCAAATGGGACATGACTACAAGCAAGCAGCGAGCAGGAGACGTGGGCAGGGCCAGGAACGCAGGGTGGTGCGGCCTGGGGCAGAGTCACAGTCCATTCCTTGCGCTTCCCTGCAACGGGTGCCAGTTCTACGGACAGGAGCCGGCTGCTGCCTGCACAACCAGTACCTGTCACAGGGATATGCAGGAAGCAGATTGTGGCTCTGCCCCAGGCCTGGGCCCCAGTCATCCTGCTCCCTGCCCACCTGTGGCCCCATCCCATCTGCCCGGCTACCTGCAAGGGTCCCAGGCCAGTCTCCCTGGAGATGCTCCCACCCACCTACTCTGTCCAGAGCCTGGCAGTGGGTGCAGGGTGGACAGAGCTGGACAGGAATAACTGGTATCTCCCCACCCCCCACCAGAGCAGCCACTGGGAGAGAGGGAGGGGGCAGGGGCTGAGCCTGGGGCCACACTCCCCTGCCCTCAACAGCTCCCCAAAACTCCTTAAGTGGCTCTTCAGCCCAAATAATGGCCCACCCCTGCTCCAGCATCAGCCTTGACATTTGACAGAATACAGTCCTTTTCTCAGCTGCTTTAAAAGCTTCAAACAGCTGCTGCTCCGTTTCAGCCATCACTGTGTTAACGAAAGAACAATTACATTACAGACTACAGAGCGGGAGAGCAGCTTTAAGCAGCTGACACGCACAGTCTGTAACACTGTAAGCAACAGGCCACAAACGGGACCACTGCTGCCACACAGGCCGGGCTGCGACGGTGCCCCGCGAGGGGGGCGCCCTGGACGTGACTCCGCGGCCCCACAACGACCCGCCGCCCCGCCCCCGCGCACGGACCTGGATAAGGGGCGCCACCGCCGTCCGGCGCAGCACGGCCATCTGTCCCGCGTAGATGCGGGTGGCCCCGAACTCCCCCGCGTGGTCCACCCGCACGATGCGGTCCAGCAGCGGCTTGCTCAGCCCGCCCGAGGCCGCG